ATCCAAACATCTTTGAAACTGTGCTTCTGGTAGAACAGCCCCACTCCAATATTTCAACTTAACGACAGCTATTCTTCCTTATATACACTATGACGCCGAACTAGTCATCGATATATTTGTTATCTTTAGCGATGTTTACTTTATTTTCTATGTCGTCATTTTTCTCATCCCTTTCTCATCAAGCCCTCACCTATCACTTCCGCGCTCTACTCTTCCATCACAGCTAGGATTATTTCTTGATGTAGAACTGTCATTCTTCCCAACGGTTTACTGCTTCATTGTGGCTGGTAGGTGTTACTGGGAGTCGGATTACGATGTACAGCGGAACGATTCGTCCTCGCCGGCAGGACCTCCCAAGTTGAGCCCGGCGTTTCCATCAGGAAGCCCAGCTAAGAGGAAACCAACACCACGATCCACCACCGCCCTGGTATCAAAATGGTCACATGGTGGCAAATTTCCCTCTGATCCACAACGGCTAAACCGGCAAATCTCCGAATGGAAATTATGCTGGGGCCTGCACAATAAGTAAAGACAGGCCATCCAAGTATGCAAACAAATAAGTAAGAACTGTGATTTACATAACTCAAGTAAGGTCGGCCAAGCTGTGTTTAGCAGTCCATTGGATTCCCATCAAGGAAAGTAGGTATAGTGAGCTATCGTTGCCTTCACACTAAAAACAAATAACAAAGCTTCGACGTTTTTCGTGTTCTTTGAGCAATAGGAAGCTAACAGGGAAGCCATATCACGCTGTGAGGACGAATGGGTACTTTGCTGGTGATTGCTTGAGCAATTCTACGACAAAGTGATGGGTGACATCAAAAAGATCTCTATTCATAATAAATGTGTCAGAACAAACTATGTTTGTATGCTGTGTCATATTGTTGTTCTATCACTTTTCTTTGATGTAAACATCACGGTATATTGATTATTACAAATAAAAGCTCTCGGCGTTGATCAATCCATGAGGGATGCCATGCATTCGACTTCATTAAGCACCGTTGGAGGTGATTGAATACATATCTGGCCTTTATAATGACTCGCAGTGGCCTACCGATGTGCCGAGCCAGTGTTGCTAGCCACCCAGACAAGTTTGGTACCAATTCGCCGACTCCGGAGGAATGCAAGGCTTGGTGGGCCATGGGCGCGGGGATCGATTCCACGTGTGTGTAGCAGTGGCGCCTCCAACCACTACGCCACACGCGCCCACATTTATTATTATAAACAAGCTCAATATTGCTGAGATACTTGCAAAACTCCTGCAAGTGTCCTGCGGTCCGGACTTTTGCAAGTATCTGAGCAATATTGTGGTTGTATTTCGCTACCCTGCCATAAAAATTATAGAAGGCAGAAAATAAAAAAGTAAACATTATAGACAAGGTCAAGGAATTCATAGTATAAAATCTTGGAGAAAATCAGTGACTACAGACTAACCTTTAGATTTCTCAGCTAACGCGACCTCTTGCCTAGATAATGTCTTCCGAAGGGCATCCGAAGAGTCTAAAACATACAGCATCATAAAAATCTACCAACAATGTAAAATCGAAATCGAAATATTTCACGTAGGCCTCGGTGACGAAATCACAGTTCGCTTTTACCACAAAGTCAACAACCTTAATAATTTCGGTAAGCCATTGCTATAGAGACAATGTCTGTATGGAACTGTTTTTCTAGATGACTTCTTTCATAGCTTCAAAATTTCTTCTAGTGAAACTATTCCTTCGATGAAGCACAGTAATACAATGGTAGTGACGCCATTCACTAGGCTCGACGGCCTTGCTCAATCTCCCTTCAGGTCAACCAAACCCAGATCTCTGCGAAATCAGAAAGTTGATACAGGCGATTTTTGCACCAACTCTATTTCTTCAATCCAAAACTGGCAATGTGCAAGCGATGAATATCTAGAACGCTCTAACACGACTATCTCAGAATTTCAGGGAAGTAGGGTTGACCAGAATTAAACGAAATTCATGAAAAAAAATCCTCAAGTAACAGGCAGACCGCATGCAAAATTGAAGGTCCTTCGTGGAAAATGGATTCGAAAAAATGGATCAAATGAAAGAAATGCTTGGATAGCTGTGTGATGTCAGGTTATGTCGCAAACTAAAAAATTCCAACCAAAAACTCAGATAACCATAACCAACGCTAGGAATGACCTGGTACCAATCTTACTGTAGCACGTCGAATCTCTCTCCGATCCACAAGTGCCAATTGCCCATGCCTACAACATAGGAAACCTCTGACAACCTAGGGAAGGAAAATCTTACTCGATTACAAATTATCATCCAAGTGGAGATTGTGTGCGAGCCTAAAAATTTTCCTTGTGAACACCAACCATTCAAGTATACAAGTATTTCTCACATGGACATTTTCCACATTCCTAGTGGTGTGTCACGTTTGACAAGAGCCTGTTATCAGGCGACCTAAAAGTTACGAAGAATTCAGCTGAAAAATATTATGATTCACTGCACATCTCGAATGCAAACAGACCTCACTGGGCTACTTATGCACTCAATAAGGAAAAATGGAGACTTTATCAGTGACCACTCGGCTCACCCAAAAATTAAAAGTGGGACAGGTGACATAAGTGAAAACATAAACGCTAACACGAAACCAGTGGACCGACAGAAAAAGAACTACTAAAAAGTTGTCTAAAAGGAATAATAGTATACAAGGCACTACATCACAAGTTCCCGGATGTGAAGCTTATTGTGATTTCGTAAGCCAAGTACTGAGAGAAGACGGAAATTTCTAAACCCCTTCAATACTGCGAGATTTAGGTAAAACGAGTTGAACCTTATATTTCCTGAACTATAAGAGGCCAGAGTACTTCACATTCAAACAACAATACTGCAGTCTGCGAACTATACTTTCGTCATCCAATTGATCCTAAATTTATGGAGTACCGAATTTCGAGTATGAACACAGAATCGCTCATAGTACCGCAATTTAACAACATGAGAGAACTCACATTTGCTAAGTGCGCATAAAGGATAAAACTCTCGGCGTTGATGAATTCCTGAGAGATGCGTCGCGCATTCGACTTCATTAAGCATCGTTTGGAGGTGTTTGAATGCAGACCTGGCTTTTACAATGACTCACGGTGTCCTACCGATGTATTGAGCCAGTGCTACTAGCCTCCCGAGCAAGTCTGGTACCAATTCGCTGACCCCGGAGGGATGGAAGGCTTAGTGGGCCAAGAGTACGGGAATCGATCCCATGTGTACTGCAGGACGCCTTCGACCACTGCGCCACACGTGCACAAAGGTAAAAGGGTATCAAAACTGATTATGCAACTAGAAACCTCGGTTCTCTCAAATAGTGGGATCTCACGCCGTTTAGTCGCTTAGCAATATGCCGCGTCCTCAGCTGGCGGATAGGAGGTTAATCTTGGACCATAAGCGACCCTATTCTTTCCTGAGGTGGATCCAGTGAATGGACTCCTTGTTTATGCTGCGTCAAAGTGAAAAATACCTTCTGTTTACAAGGACATGTCATGCTTGTATTCGTGTGCGTGTTGTTTATGGGAACTGTATTCAAGGACTATGGCGATACTCTCTACCTACAATGCACGTACACTTGCATCGGAGTCCTCGAGACATCGTTCTTACAACACCAAAGATTAGCCAAACGGAAGGAATGCTAACCGACTTTGACAAAGTCTGTGAAACGATTGGTATTCCATTAAATCTCATAAAAACGATGTTCATGAGAAACGGATTGGTTACGTATACCCCGTTCACACTCATTGGAATAAATATCCCGAATGTTCCAGTTACATCCATCTAGGTCGGAAAACCAACATGATGAACGACTTAGCTCCAGAGTTGAACAGACGGAAACGAGCGGCTTGGGGAGCTTTCAAAAGCATCGAGAATGTATTGAAGAGGACAAAAAACAGGCGACTCCGTGCCCACCCTTTCGACCCCACTACTCTTCCTATCCTAACGTACACATCGAGAACGTGGTCGCTACGTAAGCAGGATGGAAGATCACTTAGCGTTACTGAACGCACAGTCGAAAGGACGACGCTAAGAGACAAAGTATCCGACAATGAAGGAGAGCAGGAGAGCAAGATCTAGCTAGTGTAATGTCTTAATTTAATCGCAACTTAACTAAGTACCTTGATGTCATAAAAGAAATCAAAAGACCACCTTCGAATTCATTACGAAGGCGCTGGGCTCGACCATGAATTTGGGCGGCATCAGTTTTACTGAAACCATCCACATGATAGTTTTAATGACATAAACGAAGCAAAGCAGCTAGAATTATAAGTACCATACTAAAGAAAAACTAACTTTGAAAGGTTGAATCTGCTTTCTACCTTCCTGTCCAACACATCTAACGAGAAACCCTAAAACCTCATAAATGTGATAAGACAGCTATTTCGTTTAGTCAGCAAAGCCTAACAATGAACGGTACTACCTTGATGTCCTGGACGATCGAGTCGCATACATCTGCACCGCTTGGTGCTATTGAAAATGTTGCCTCTAATAAGGAGTTTAACAATGAGCCCATCGAATCAACAACTGGGACAAAGATCTGGAATAGTTACGAGACTGCGTAAAGTATGAGTAAATACTAGTAGAGCACAAAGCAAGAAAAAATTTACAGTCCCCTAAGCCACTTTTACCAACAGGCCAACGGAAATAACTGCCAAAGGTTCCTCCCCAAAAAAGTGATGGAGGCTGAAAGTAGGACAAAACGCGCAAGCACTCTGTTTGAATCTTCCGCTTATAATTATAGTCAGGTCCTACGGCGAATTCTTACTGTAGCCGCAATGATGTCATCAAGGACATGGTCGAGCGTTCCCCGGGCTTGGTTATTTCAGAGGTTGACTCGGCAGTGCTTGTACTGCTAGCGAAGCACTGTCAACGAAGTCCTTTTGCCGATTGTTTTAAAGGCGCTTTTGTCCATCAATTGGCTCTTCTATCGTTGTTCTGCGTTCTCTCAGTTCATGAACACAGCACGTGACGTGTTGACTTCAACTTCTCTGATTTCAGATGTCGTTTTTGAGCGAACCAGAAGCGGATTCTAATCCAACCATAACTACTCTGAAGATTTTGATTGTCGGTGAGAGCGGAGTCGGGAAATCGAGGTGAGCTTCGGATGTAAATGGTTTGTACTCGCCGATATGAAGCATATTGTTTATGCTGTATTGATCTGTCAAATGTTCAATGAAGTTCTCCAGTTTTCAGTTTGATGTTACGCTTCGTCGATGATACATTCGATCCTGAATTGGCTGCAACAATAGGTGCGTCTGAGCGGGTTTAGCCCTTTTAAGACGATATGAATGCCATATGAATCTTTTTTCCCGACCGTTTGCGTAGCGTTCTTTTCTCATAATTTTTATGTTGGCTTACAAAAATCGTCTTTTCGGATGAGTTTGTTCATCCAGTGGCCAGTGAAGGAGGGTCTTAAGACGTTTCCTTTGTGTATGCACGCTCAATTTCAACATAGAACCACATCGTCACCAAAAGATAGCAAATCATCGAGAAGACTTGAACGGGCGGTGCGCAGATGTCCATTCGACCTATTCAAAAGTATTGATTGTGCTTTAGAAAAGCTGCGTGTTTTCAAAGTGGCGGTCCTTGCGAGTAGCATTGAGACAAACTAGAATATGCCCTACTGGCTTTATCAAACGCTGACCGGGCACTTAGTTTTTGAAGCAGTCTGAGTTGGTAACGTTTTGCAAGTTCAGTGCAACCACTGTTTTGACACTGTAGCGTCCTCATAGGAGTGGCTACCTATGTATATTGGAGTTCTCGGGATTTGATGAGAACTCATGAACACCACGATCTTGAGCTATGGAAGTGCAAAGGCGATTCCACATTTTATTTAATGTCTTCCTGTTAAATCTATATGAGGACTGCAGTAGTGATCAAGTTAGCTTTCACTGCAGTTCGCGCAATTCAAGGCTTTAATATTCCACAATTCGATTTTTGACTAGGAGATGATTCTTTCCTGTTGGATAATATTTATCCTACGGAATGGTTAGATACGAAAGACGTAACAAAGACTGATAACATCGTGGTTCGATGATGGATGAGATTCTCTATTTTGTGTTATCACGCATGTGATTCCTCCCAACGGTTTACCGCCTCATCGTGGCTGGGAGGTGTTCCTGGGTGTCGGACTGCGATGTACAACAGGGATTCATCCCCTGGCAGGGTCTCCCAAGCTGAGAAGGAGCCCAAAATTTCCATCAGGAAGCCTAGCTAAGAGTAAAACAATACCAGGATCCACCATCGTCCTGGTATCAAAGTCGCATGGTGATAAATCTCCCTCTGATCCACAGGGGCTGCGACTACCTCTGGTGGTGACGCCCTGAACAGACTTTGGCCAGTCTGACCTCGGCATTCCAGCGAAACATATTGGTTTAACCAGTAAATCCTCGAAAAATAGAGATTGTGCTGGAACCCGCACAACCAGTGAGGACGGGTCATTCAAGTACCAAGTACACATGTGATTTGGAGGTTATAAAAATCGGGAAAAATGGTGAAATCACAATGTTTAACGTTTTGTTTTCTGCCTTCTATAATTTTCATGGCAGGTTACTAAAGGAAATACAACCACAACGTTGCTGAGATATTTGCATAACTCTGGACCGCAGGTGTCTATGGTGGGGAACGAACGCGCTATTGTCCTTTCCGGGGAGTAACGCGTTCACCACCACACCATGGGGGTCCTTCGTTTCGCCTGTCTCTCAGCTATTTCTATCGATCTTTTTGCCACAGCAGTCAACCGTAAGCGGGGTTGATCAGGGGAGCCCAAATCGGCATAGAACCCAGTTGTGGTGAAATGGTGAAGATTAGGTAAAGCATAAAAGTGAGAAGTCAGAAAGTCAAAAAGTGAGCGGATGAGAGACAGAAGATTCTGATTAAGGAGTGAGGAATACAAGAAGGAGCTTTCCACTTCCGAGGAGTACAATGGAAAATAAAAATCCACAATGAACTAGGCGTGGTCGTAAACTTGTGAAACATTTTAGGTTATCTATTTTCGTAAGCAGTGCTTTTTGGTTTCTCACTTAGAGCTCTGTTATAGGTGTTGATTTCCGGGTTACAACAATGAACATTGATGGAAATAGGGTTAAACTCGCAATTTGGGATACGGCTGGTCAGGAACGATTTCGAACACTGACACCAAGCTACTACCGGGGTGCGCAAGGTGTGATATGTGGTACGTAGTGTTCATTTTTTTCTACGTTTATAAACATTTCAATTGTCATACGATGTAAGTATTTAGTATATGACGTTACAAATCGAAGTTCTTTTGAAAATCTTAATCATTGGATGACAGAAGTGGAAACGTATATTACCAAAGGAGATGCAGTTAAAATGCTCGTTGGGAATAAAATAGACATGGTACGCGATATTATTTACAATTTTTTTGGTGCTCGTTAAAAGTTTTTTTTAGCCAAATCGTGAAGTCTCTCGGGAAGATGGTCTAAAGTTTGCCAAGCGTCATCGCGCGCTTTTTATTGAAGCTAGCGCGAAAACCAAGGAAGGAGTTCAGTGTGCATTCGAAGAACTTATTGAAAAGGTTTCGTTTGTTGTTTCATTGAAACCTTGTGGGTGTAGTTTGAAATGCTGGTTTTGTTGCGCTAGCAGTACATTTTTCATAATTTTACATATGTATAGATTATTCAAACACCTGGACTTTGGGAAAGTGATAAACCGGCTTTTCGTCTGGGGCAACACTCTACGACCGCCAGTGATTCATATTGTGGTTGTTAAAATGTGTTTATCTCTATTCTCACTGAAGTTTTGCTCCGAACGTTTGTATAGTAAGCTGCTTAACCTCTGTACATAGCGTACATTTATCCACTACTCACTTATTGTCTTGGAACTTTGTAGAAAGCTGCCATACTTTTATCTACGTAGCATGCATCCGTCTTATACTCGTTTAATATTTCCAAGAATTGATGATTTACTAGTGACTTATTAGTCTTCTGACGAGTACAATTTATCACCCTGTTGAAATAGTGTGTATTTTTTTTGTATAGAACTGATCTAGACCTGCACATTGAACCATTAGTGTTGTCGCTGGGACGAACTGTATTATGAAACATTGTATTATGAGTTTTATTGTAGTACATTTAGTATGAAAATGTATACAGTTGCTTCACGTCTCTGCAAACCACTCTTATCTTCTCTTCTTTCCCAGTTTTTTTTTAATATTCTATGTTTTTACCGAAAGACTAACGGTGTTATCTGTATTGTTAGCTGTACTCTTAGGTTTTGAATAGTTTTATAATTTAATGAATTCTTATATCTTTTGTGGACGACTCTAGCTTCGCAAGTTGTACTTACACATACCGATTTTGATTGATATAACATTTGTTTCTTTACGGTCACTTAATACTATTTATGGTTAAGTTCTCTCAGAATGGATCAAAGTGAAGAATTCTCTGTGGCCACGGAAGAACAAGCCAGGATGAATGATTTCAATAACTCCTGTAAAGAGAGGACTTTGGATGAAAAAGTATGGTTAGATTAGTTTTAGAACAATTTCTTTCTTTTGGAAGGCAAAGTTTTATTTTTGTGGTTCTAGTAGCTATTTGTATTTTCTTGCAGTATATTGATTCAATCGGAGCGAATGGTGATGCTCACTTGAAAGACAACAAAGATGAAAAGCCGGATCGAGGAGACCGTGATAAGGACCGTGAGAAGGACCGTGATAAGGATCGTGACAAGGACCGAGAGGATCGTGAAAAACATCGTGATCGAGACAGAGATCGTGATCGTAAGCGACATAAGAGGAGTCGGACACGTAGTCGCAGTCGAAGTAAAGAACGTGATCGTGAACGCCGTCGGTCGTGAGTGCATTTCGACTTCTCGTATTGGTATACCTCAACATTGTTGAATGACGAAATCTGCGATGGTTTCAATCTTAGGCGAGAGCGTGAGTCGAGAGATCGTGACCGTGACCGAGAACGTGATCGTGCTTCTCGTAGTGAACCGAAGAAGAAGTACCGATTCTGGGATATACCTCCAGTTGGGTTTGAACATCTCACGCCAAAGGAGTATAAAGCTCAGCAGGGTTAGTTCACGTTGCCTTGTTTAATCTGTACAGCATATTACTTCTGTTTATTTCCTTTTGCAGCTACTGGAGCCATCCCTCGTTCAAACATGCAAGCTGCGGTGCCAGTAGTCGGCCCATCGGTTACTTGTCAATCTCGTCGTCTATACGTTGGTAACATTCCCTTTGGATGCAATGAAGAGGCCATGTTAGATTTCTTTAATCAGCAGGTATGTTATCTATTAAAGTATTTTGGACGTTTAAAATAGAGGTTCCCAGTTTTGAGTTTTTTCACATTGTTGAAAATAATTGTTATCACTTGCACTTTTTGCTTCAGTAAAGATTTTTATGTTTTGTTCTCTCCTAGATTTACATTTGGGGGTATTCAGGTGGTAGTGTAGTGATGCTAAATTCTCATGATCCCGATTCGACTCCAATCCGACCATCTTTGTGCAGCTGGGAAACAGATTAGACTCGGCTGCTATCAACTCGCCTCTTAGAGTTGGCGGTGATTGTTGTGATAACGATCTGTGAACACCTTAGCTCGGCTGTCCCAGGATTCCAGCGTGGATTGACTATTGTCTTGACAAACATTCAACGGCATTAATGAATAAGACAAAAATCCTTTGTAGCAGCCTAACCCACATGCAAGGAAGTAAGGACTTGGAATATGTATGTGAGGGAAGAATCGAATATAATGTTAAGATCGGTACTGTACTTGTGATGTCGAGTTGTGTAGAATAAAAAAAGGATTCGTATGTTAATTTTACATTAAGTTTATGTCTCTTTTGCAAGTCAACTGTAGTTCGCTTTTTTAAAACCGTTCTATTCTTGCGAAATATAACTTTAATGATGTTGAGATATTTGCAAAACTCTGGACCGCAGGTGTCTGCGGTGGACAACGAACGCGCTATTGCCCTTTCTAGGGAGTAACGCGTTCACCACCACACCATGCGGGTCCTTCGTTTCGCCTGTCTCTTAGCTAATTCTATTGGTCTTTTGCCATCAGCAATAACCCGTCAGTGGGATTAGTCTGGGGAGCCCAAATCGGAAACGAACCTATTCCGTTGAGAAACACTGTTTTTAGATGCACCTTTGCGGCCTGGCACAAGCTCCAGGTAATCCAGTGCTGGCTTGTCAAATAAATTTGGATAAAAACTTCGCATTCATCGAGTTTCGCTCGATAGATGAAACGACGGCTGGAATGGCGTTCGATGGTAAGCATTCGTCCGTTTTTTTTAGAACTCACATTTTTCTATAATAGATTAACATGGTGACCTTATAGGAATAAATTTCATGGGACAACAGTTGAAAATCCGCCGTCCTCGTGATTATCAGCCCATCAGCGCAAGCTTTGATATGGCTTCACGGATGCCAGGTATATTGTCAATCATAATCGTTTATTTCTGTGTACGTAACTAAATGCGCATGGTTTAGTGTCGAATATCGTTGTTGATTCACCGAATAAAATCTTCATTGGTGGTTTGCCGAACTATCTCAATGAGGAGCAGGTACGTCGCTACAATGTTTGGACGCTACTTCTAGAATTCTGCAAAAAAACACTTTGAAACTTTAAATCTGTCTTTAAAGCAGAATTCTCGATTGTTCACTAATTCTTCTGGGAATTTCACCGTTTCATACCATTTGTAGCTAAATTTTTGTATTAATATGGTGGTTTTCATTATTGGGATGGCTACTAATGTGTTGAGCGTGTTTCAGCGCTCGACGCTGGGCCCCTCGTACTGCTACCTGTACATTCACTACATCGGATGACTCGAAAGAGCACCTCAAATGCATATCTGGATTCGCTTTTGCAGCTCTTATTTCAGCATTTTAGCAACCCCGCCGAAAGCCACAGCTTCTCTTTTTTCAGCTCTCGTTCTTTCTTTTAGGCTTTTTAGCGCTGCGCAAACGGTGTGTGTATGATGGGGGATGGTGGTGTAGGCAGGTTGTTCGGTTTTAATAATTGAAGTTTTGATAGATCGCGATCAATGATAAATTCTGTTATTTCTGTTACATAAAGAGTCTTTCATCTGCGTGTAATTGAAGAATCTGCGCATTTTTAATTCCGCTTCATCATGTAGGTTACCGAAATCATGAGGTCTCTTATCGGATGTTGTTTGACTGTCGGTGTTTAGGTGAAAGAGCTGCTGTGCTCGTTCGGACAGCTTAAGGCGTTTAACCTTGTTGTCGACTCGAACGGAACCTCTAAAGGATTCGCTTTCGCGGAGTACCTCGATACAACGTTAACGGATCAGGTGTGTTATACGTTGGTCAATGCGTTCCAAAATTATGTCGACTTAAGATTTTTATAAGGACTCGGGTTACTTGGCAGTAGCTTACTTTTACATCGTTATTATAGGCTATCGCTGGTCTTAATGGAATGCAACTTGGAGACAAACAGCTCGTTGTACAATTGGCTTGTGCTAACGCGCGAAATGCACAGCCTATGCCACACTCTGCCACGTCTATTGCTGGTATTTTCCGAATAAATAACCTTATCCATTGAGTTGTTGCGGTGTTTCACTACCAATTATGGGGAAAATGGCATAGTCATGTAAAAGCTTACAAAGAAAGTCCCACTTAAAATTGGGATCACACGTCTCCAAAAAGGAATTCTAAAGAATTATAATGTTTCTTTCAAATTTGTTTTTCCAGGTATTGATTTATCACAAGGTGCTGGGGTGCCAACTGAAATATTGTGTTTGATGAATATGGTGGTTGAAGATGAGTTAAAAGATGACGAAGAATACGAAGGTCGGTCTTATTTGCTTTACGTGTCCCACGAAATGGGAAATTGGTATCGGAATTTTAAACTTACATTGATTGATGAGTTCGACATGAATTTAGTAATATTAGTGCATTCGCGACGAACCTAAGTTTTCGATAACAGCACGGTTTTTGCTATTAGTAGGATACATAAGAATATGTGATCTTCACAGGCTGTAGAGGAGGCTTTGTTGTATCGTCCCACGATATAAATAATTTCTTAAATGCTGGTTTCTAGTTTAGTCTGAAATTAGGAATTACTCAAACAGAAAGTCTAAATGAACTTCAAATTTTAAAAAGTTTCTACCGCGAGCGCGGCCACCACAGATATTAACAACACATTGTGGACCTCATCCTGTCGTGGCGATGGAGATCCCACTCTTTTATTGGCATTACTGTTCAGAGTACACACCTCTGTGTAAATCAGAAGGAGGAAGAAAAGGAGAATAAAAATGTTTGTTGCAGAGAAATATATTTTCCTCTTGAAAAGATAAATAAATAGTACTTTTTCACTGAAACTGTAGATTCTAATGCTTTTGTTCCAGTGCTTTTCGTTGTGGATCTCACACTGTCCACAAAAATTTTTTAAAGTCAATTATTCTATTCATAGGTTCATCTAGCTTAATTATAAAGCGAAAAACCAAATGAGGGGCTTAGTCATCTGTAGGGAACACAACGAATCGTCCGCTTGAGTTGAGCACACACCACACGCGGTCAAAAGTTATTAAGGGTTTCAAGCACTCGGATGTTGATTAATTATATGTAAGTGTGAATGTGACAAACTCGACAGGTGTGATTATTATCTTTACGTATGTATTGAAATCGATGGAAATATCGTTGCTAGTGTATTAAGATTCGTTGCTGCATACTAGAACAGCAACTTTTCATATTAACGCCATTGAGACTGGTTTTTTAAAGATATCCTGGAAGATATTCGAGAGGAGTGCTCTAAATACGGCATTGTTCGGTCACTGGAAGTACCTCGACCTATTCCTGGTGTAGAAGTTGCTGGGATTGGAAAGGTAACGACAACATTCAGTTATATCTCCATTTTGAAGCTTTTCTTAACTTACGAGTTTTGCATCAGTACTTTTATTTCCTCCTTCCTTTTTATGTTAAGTGGTTTTCCATACGTTTGTTTATTTGAGGTCTTTGTCGAGTTTGCGACTTGTGCTGATTGCCAGAAAGCACAAGCAGCGCTTACTGGTCGTAAGTTCGCCAACCGAACCGTCGTAACGTCTTATTATGATGTGGACAGATACCATCAGAGACAGTTTTAACACTGTTTGGATCTTCACCCATGTTTTCCCATTGTTCTCTCTGTTTTCTTTTATTTTTGCGATTGTAATTTTGGCAAACATATTATATTTCTCCCTCACCCCATTCTGAAAGCTTGTGAAATATTCTAGACAACTCTGTTCCATCCGTAGTTGAATTAATGTGTTGTTGATTTCTCTCATGTTTATGGTAGTTCTTAACAATTTCAGTGTTCATTTCCTGTGTTGTCAATAAGAAAATTAGTCTAGCGACTACTGTTGATTTCAGAAACGTTCCAATATCCACGAAGTGTCAGTGTCAGTGACTCGTCGACGAGATTTGCCGGTCGTGATTTCCTCGATCGATTCTATCTTAAGAATATCACTATTGCGCTTCCTTTTCCTCCTACTGTATGGTGGAATGTTTTTGATTTCTTCTTTCATACGATGACATACGAGAAGGATTTTAGAGAGTACGGTCTTCACGTTTTGCAATTTCTGAACAGGAGACTGACAAGCATAAGTGACAACTTCTTCGACGTGTTCACAAGTAGGGATCAGCACCAGTTGTAAATTGCTATCGAGAAGGATGGAGCACAACATACGGTTGAACTTCCACATATTTCCACTAAGGCGCTGTGCGTGGTAGACACAGGGCGAGCCCGTATATGATCTTTATGTGTTTGCTTTGGGAGGTCCGAAATGTCTCCAGTCGTCGCTATTTCTTTTGCGTCTTTGGTACCTCCTATTGCTTTTCTGCTCAATTTCCTATAGTTCCATTGGCGTTGGATCGTTGTAATTGAGTGTGCTGCGCGTTCTTATGTCAAGCATAGAGTTCTACGTGATGGTAGTCCGTTTTCTTTCTGTTCCGACATTTATTGATTTAATCAATGAGGTGACTACCGACTATGGGTTGGTTATATGGCAGAAATGACAATTGTTGCTCGTTCTGTTCCGGAGATCTACTAGTTGTTTTGCAGAGGCGGCTGCTGACCGTCTGCTGTCATAAGCTTGGTAGAAGGCGAAGAATATTGGTGAAGACCTTTGATACAATTCGTTTAGTTCCCAGGATCGACTTTCTATTAACCTCGGCATTGGACTATGAATGCGTCGTTTTCTTGTTCAGTAATCGCGAGGTTTTTAAACAGCATACACTTACTTCCACAGAGAAACAATACAATACAGCACTAGCTGACGCTTCGGCAGTATCACCTTCTTCAGAGCCGCTTTTTACGTGACGTCCAATGAGGAAGTTTAGAACAGCTGATTATAGTCGCATATGGTTGATGACAATTCGTTTAGCTTGTTTTTATGAAGGAGAAAGGATGGTAGATTCTCAAGCAGTTTGCAGATTATGTTTAGAGTGTTGTCACTTTATGAACACATTAGAGAGCGGAGGATATTGAAATTGAATATTGAAAATTGGGTGGATGGTGATGGATCTGGTAGATAGAAAACTAGGTGAGAGAGAGTGGAAACGAAAGACCCGCATAGCATGGTGGTGAACGCGTTGGCCCCCGGAAAGAGTAGTAACGTGTTCGTTCCCAACCGCAGACACATGTGGTGCAGAGTTTTGCAAACATCTCAGCATCATCATGGTTGTATTTCACATATTAACATTGATGGAAACCTTTGCTTACGGCAAAACGTTATGCCTGTCTTTTCGTGGGAAAAAAGATGAAAGAGGTTCAAGGAGTTTACGGATTATGTTTAGAGTTTAGCCTTTTCTTTTACTGCGTGTTCTTTTTTCATGGCAGCGCATCATGTGAAATACAACCACAAGAACACTGAGATGTGACAATATGATATGAGCCGAACTCGGAGCTCCTTATGTTTAGAAATTCTGGAAAACTCGGACTATAACGAAAAATCTTTAGTTGAAAGTGTGGCCGGATAGCTTTTGTTACTGTTCGCAGTATGATTTACATTGAAAGCAGTAAACTTCCGGTATTACCGTAAATGGCGCTGGCCGTAATGAAGAAACAATGTTTCCCTTTGATTATTCCCTTTGACTCGACACGTCTCAATATGATGTTCCTTGAATCCTCAGAATGGATCAGTTAGGAATTCTAACACGTTCTTCACTTCTATTTAAGTCAATGGTCACTGTAAATTGTTTTATACATCCTCACATTCGCATAAAATCCTTTCATTTTTACGCATTGTATGGTTGCAAAGCAGGAGGAATAAAAGCTGAGAACACAACCACAACAATGCTGAGATATTCGCCAAATTTGTACCCCGAGCCAGATCGAATCACGATTACCCTTTCCGGGGGCACGCGTAGTACACATTGCACCAAGGAAACACTTGATTTGCTAATTTTCTCTCAGCTAATTTTCTTCCTAACACTGCCATCAGCAATCACTCGCCAGCGGGATTGATCTCTAGAGCGTTTGGAAGAAAGAGCTAGGAACAGTGTATGATGTTTGAACTCTTGTCGAATACAAAAAGTGCTGAAATTCGCACAATGATAGCGGGTCGAGTAAGGTAAATAAATAAGTAAATGTTTGTTGAAGAATATGATTGCATCTGTTGTCTTCTTCTCACATTTATGTTTTCCTTTGATCGAACCAGTAACAAGTTTTATATAGAAACGTTATTTTTAAAACCACGATAGACATTACTTATAGAGTGCATCGAATTCAGAAACTGTGAGTTTCGAGCTCTTCGCGGTATTCGATGGGCACTGGTGTTTTCATACCTTCTCGGCACTTGTTATTCTTTTAGTCAATTGAAATCGACTACCGCTTCTTTCCTAAACTCTCCTGAAATGGACGTAGGAGAGGAGGAGAATTACCGCAAGCTCTAAATCTAAACTATGTGGTTTTCAGTGACGGGAACTATATGGGGACAGCGTGGTCTCCGTGACTACAGTAGTTTGGAAGTCGTCGTAAGTGGATGTACCATGAGCACGAGCCACTTTGGAGAATGGGAAACGTCATTGCCAATGAAACGATGCAACAATTGATTACGTGTTTTACATATTAAACACTTAGGAAGGTTAAGAACATCAGAGTACATGCCAAATCATTTCGTAATGGCGATAAAATAATTATTTTGAACGCGCTGAACTTTTGTTCAGATCAAAATTTTCACGCAGTTGTGTAGAAAGTCAAAAAAGGGTAACGGCAGAAGGACGAAGTTACGTATTTAAATGGGGAAGTTCTTGTACGAATCTAGCATTTTGCTACAGCATTAGTGATGAACACGGATCAGTGGTTAGCACAGGTTCCTCACATGGAGAATTGTAGGGAAGGAGGTTATGGAGCTCTTTGCTACTTGACTCCGTCAGGCATGTTTCAGTTAAGTTCACTGACAGCCGAGATCCCGAAGTGCTACTCAATTCCGACAGCGGTCTCACCCGGATGATTGGTGGTTTCCTCGTTATGAGCTGGCAACATCTCGTACCATGTGAAGGTATCTCCGAAGAAATTGTCGATCTTACCCAACTTTACAGAAAAGGAACACGATAGATATTTGTTACTTCTTTGGATTTCCGATATGATTACCATTACCCTATTGTTCAATTTCAGAACATTAACGTGTTACTCATGTTTTAAGTAGACCAATGACAAATAAATGGATTTGTTTTGCAAAACTCGGGCCCAGGCCAGATTTTGGGTCGGGTTCCGATCTTTGCAAGTACCTCAACATTATTATAGTTGTATCTCACATAATACCTTGCGATGAAAAATAATAGGCAGTAAATAAAAGGTTAAACATTGGATTTATTTTTGTTAGAGTTAGCCAACCCCCCAGGATAATTCATTCACTTCGGTCCAGATAGAACTCTCTTCCATCGTTAGTGTCTGGCGAATGGTTTTCGTAAAGACTTCGAAATGCTTTAACACCGTTGTGCGAAGGTTCGAAGGAGAATCCGCTCTACCATCGTTCCACAACATTCACAAATAAATTCATAAGATAACTATGATCATAGTCTCGATGTGTTCTAGGATTCGCCGATGTGTCAATAATTAAGTGGAAATAGGAAAAGGGAATGATATGGGAGAAATCAACGAGCCGCAGCGACCACTTGTCTGGTGTCACTTCTAATTTCCCAAAGTTAGTGTTTTTTTAGTTAATGACATTCATTTAGCGATACCGATCTCATTTTTTTCCCTACATTAACACACACGTCTTTGAGGACGTTGTTGATTTTGTCAAAATGCGTTGCACTTGGAAGAATTCTACAAGTGGGTCGCCGGTAGATATGATCAGCTTTGCCGAGAGAAACTGTCGCTCTTGCAATAATTGTCATGGTATGTTTCATCATGCATTGAGTAGCATTCGTACCGCTGTTGGACCAATGCCTATAGTTGTATGATTTTGATCTTTAACGTGTTCTGGAATTAATGTAAAATAAATTGACAAACTGAAAACTATATGAGTAGAAAAACAATAATTTTCAAATTTCGGATTCCAGATTTCAAATTTTATCAAATTTTCAATAATCGTCGGCTCTGATGAAGACGAAGACGTCAATATGTTAGCCGAACAAAACTAATTTATCAACCCCGTGTAAGTAAACTCAACAACTTATACACATGCTGATTATATGAATAGAATGATTTTCTTACTAACCTTGGCAGGTTAGAATTTTAGATGATCTAAGAGCTAGCAAAATCATGTTGTAACCAGATAGGAAATTTTAAAGGACATTTTACCTGATAAGTCCATTAACAATTTTCTGGCCAAGGAGGAGTGGAGAAATTGGGCAGCTCGAACTAATCAGAATAGTGCGTATTTGGCAGTTTTAAGCACTGCACGTTTCACGCTTCTATTCAACGAGACATATTAGTATTAGTAATTTTTGTGAACGGTATAGTAACTATTCTTTAAATAGTTTCTATTCTCTATAATATCACATGTTTCCTATACTAACTATTTACTTATAACTATCTTAAATCTATCCATTCATAATGTATAAGCCTTTATACCGTTTCGACATGCACTTTCGGTAAAAGCCTTTGTACAAGCTATTCCATCTCTTTCACATGACCTTTTGATGAACCTTTGCGTAG